GAGCAATCAAGGAAGTAACTTTTACTCTGAGTCTTTCATACCCTCAGACCAGAGATATTTGAGGGGTGGAACATAAATATTATTCTAGTCTGATGCCAGTATTGGGGCCTGGAGTTGAGATTGCCCAGCTGTCCCTAAACTTACCTGATCTTCCCCAAACTAGTATGCTGGCAAGGCAAGCATAATCCTTGACTCTCTTCCTACTCTCCAGAGAGACACGCCATACCTTAGATCATATCCATCCACCTTCAAACCTCATCTATACAGAGTATCCTAAAAGTCTTATTGTAGTTTTAAGCTTCACTTGACCTCCTGATGTCCTGGGTAACTCCCTAAGACCAAGTTGTACAATGATTACACATCTGCACTGATAGGAATTTTCTCATCAGAAGCTATAAGAGTTTAAAACTGTGCTAAGATTTTTGGGACACCCTATATATTTACACAACCCCCACAAAATCCTACATGCGGGCATCTATCCTACACAACAGTGCTGTGGAGGCCAGTATTCTTATCCCCATTTTAAAGATGAGGAAAATGAAACAGGAAAGGTGAAGTGACTTTTCCACTGTCACACAATTAATAAGTGGCAGGTGAGGCATTTGAACTCAAGCCTCTTAGCTGCTGTTCCAAATGTTCTTTCTACTACAGCAAGCATAAGATCCATTATATTTCATTAACCATAATATCCTTCGCCCTAAAATGCAGCATAAGTGGTGAATAGGAAGCCTGCCTGAGTCATGAAGACCTAGGTTCAAGTCTTTCCTCTGACACATACTAGCCGGCCTGGTCACTTAACCTCCCCATGCTCTAGACAACTCCCTAATACTAAATTGTAGAACAGTTACAGATTTCTATTGGTAGAAATTTCCTCATCAAAAGCTTCCTTGTTCCACTGAATTCCTAGGTCCAACTTTTCCCTGGGGGGAAAAAAATATTTCCCTAATTATTCTGAACATGTGAGGATTGCCAGTATGTAAATACTATAATTAGGTTCAAATTTGCTTAATATATATTTGTAATAACCATCAATGTATGTATTTAATATGTATAAAAATATTAAATAGCAAGGACATGTGGAAAACCTATTTCAAAAATCAATACAGTACACATAAAGTAATCTAGATAGGTTTTACTTTTAAAGATGAAAATTAAAATGCATACTCAAATATGACATAATTATTTTATTTTATGAATAATTATTTTCATACAGTTCTGCCCCAATGTCAGGGTCGGGGATGGATTATCTATTAATAAGAACAGCTTAAAGTTTCCCTTAACCTTAAAAACACGCCCATCTCATTTTATTTTGAGTTCTAATGTTATTGTTTTAAACTTACTTTTAAAAACTTTTTTTAAAATTTGATTGATGCCTTGGTTTCATATCATCTTAATTTTCAAATATATTCCTTCCCTACTCTCTCCCTAGAGAGAGACATCCCTTAGATGAATAAAAAAGAAAGATGAAAGGGAAAGAAAACCCCAGCAGTTCCATAAAACTAACCAACACATCAACACTGGCTGTCAGTCTATTCAGTGTTCCACATCCTTCCTTTCCCACCTACTTCTGCAAAGAAGGGAGGGAGGAGTATTTTCTCATCTTAATGAAGTCACTTTTATGGGCATGTCTATGGAGAGGTTATAGCAGATAAATTTTAGGTGCCATTAAAGTCCACTGGTTTCACAGAAATGATACCAAATGTGTTTTCCTCCAAATAAAACTGCTGAAGAATCTTAATGAAATAAACTCATGGAGCATGAGGGGCCTCCATAAGCCTTCCTAAAGGACACAAAATAGTTTGTTGTCTATCTCAAGTATTTTTGTGAAGAAGCCAAGCTCAGTGGATAAGGAAATAAATCCCTGCCTATGGGGGTCATATTTTTTTTGGAGGTAGACAGGACGGCACTACCACAGGGCCACTACCAGAGGAAGGAAGGGAGGCTTAGACAGAAGCAAAGAGGCTGAAGGGCAGGTAGGGGACAACCTGCCATGATGGCACTCCAGTGTTAATCCACAGTCTAGCGACTAGAAAGAGCAAAGTGCACAGTCTAGAGCAAGGTTGAGAGTCAGAGAAGCTCAGTTCAAATCTCCATTTTTGGACACATCATTAAACCTATTTGGGGCTCATTTTCCTTCAACTGTAAAATGGGGAAGTTGGCTTAGATGATTTCTAAGGTTCTTCACACTCTACATCTAGGACCTAAGATCTAGGATCCTCAGCATTATAAATATTCCTCCAAACACATTGTGCAACAGACTATAAGATAATTTCACATATTTCTTCCACATACATCCAATCTGAGTGGTTGTAAAGCAATGTAGATGACAGCTTTTGACAATATCTATTATATTTTATTTCTTCTATGGCTTGCAAGCCCTGATATGCCTTCAGTCTAATTCATTAGCTATGGCAAAGGTAGAATAGATGAATAAATACACACACTTTTAAAAAACAAGGCAGGCTAGCACTTGGAAGGACAAGATCAGAATATAAAGTAGCTAGAGAAAAGTAAGAAAGAAGGATATAATAAGACTAAACCCAATCAACTAACAGACATTTATTAAGTACTTACTATGTGCCAGGCACTGTGCTAAGCGCTGGAATACAATGGGAAAAGTCTCTGCTTTTTATTCCTTACATCATATTCTGATGGGAGAAATAATATGAGGCTGTTGCTGTTCAGTCATTTTCAGTCCTGTCCAAATCTTCATGACCCTATTTGGGGTTTTCTTGGCAAAGATACTGGGGTAATTTGCCATTTCCTTCTCTAGCTCATTTTACAGATGATGAAACTGAGGCAAACAGAGTTAATGACTTGCCCAGGGTCACACAGCTTAGTAAGTGTCCAAGGACAGATTTGAACTCAGGAAAATGAGTCTTCCAGACTCCAAATCTGGCACTCTATTCACTGTGCTACCTAGCTGTCTTACATATGAGCATTAATAGATACATAGGGTACACAATGAGGGTAAAATACAAGATAGCCTTAGAGCATTAGACATTCGCATCAGGGGTAACCAGGAAAGGCTTGCTGTAGAAGGTGGTGTTTGAACTGAGTCTTAAAGAAAGCCAAGGATTCTAAGAGGCAGAAGGGAGGAAGAAGAATATTCCAAGGATCAGGGACAGCCAAGTGCAAAGGCATATGGACAAAAGATGGAGCATCATTCATGAAGAAAGGGAGGGGGCAGGGAGGGGGAGAAAAATTTTAAACTCAAAAGTTTATGTAAATGATTGTTGATAAATCAAAATAAATTAATAAAAAATTTAAAAAAGGAAATCACTGGTGACTTTGGAAAAGACAATTTCTGTTGAAAGATGAGGTCAGAAGCCAGTTGGCAGAGAGTTTAAAAGAAAGTGAGAGGAGAGAAAGCAGAGACACCAAGCATAGATGGCTTTTTCAAAGAGTTTAGCTGCAAAGGTGAGGAGAGAAAGAGGACAAGAGCTAGCAGGGATAGCAGCATCTGGTGAGGGTTTTTAATGATGTGGGATATGGGCATATTTGTAGGTAGTCAGGAAACCAATAAATAAGGAGAGATTTGAGAGTGAGAGAAGAAGAAGAAGAATAGTGGAGTGTACTGTCTCCACTAGAGGACATGGAAGAGAAGAAGAAGAAGAAGCAGAAGAAGAAGAAGCAGAAGAAGCAGAAGCGGAAGCGGAAGCAGAAGAGGAAGAGGAAGAGGAAGAGGAAGAAGAAGAAGAAGAAGAAGAAGAAGAAGAATAGTGGAGTGGAGTGTACTGTACTGTCTCCACTAGAGGACATGGAAGAGAACGGGATAAAGGGTGCATATAGAGGGGTTGGCTTTGGTGAGGGAAAGGCCTACATCTTCATCAGAGATTAGAATAAAAGAGGAGATCATGTGCCATGATGGGGCAAAGGATTGTGAAATGTGAAAAAAGGAATAAGAGGGAATTCATTGAGAATGGCCTCTATTTTTTTTTTCATGAAGCATGAGTACAGATCCTCAGCTGGGAGGACAGGGGAAGAGGGTCACATGGGAGGCCTAAGGAGAGAGGAGAAGGTCTGGAACAGCTTCTGCGATGGCAACCCAAGGAGGAAAACAGACACAGACATGAAAACTGAACATGATTCAGCAATGCAGTAATAACATCAAAAAAGTATGAGCAACCATAAGGCAATCTCATTACACTGGGCCCCAGGCAAACCTCAGCATTATTCCAAGTCAATGATATATCATGGGCACAATGACTATAGAAACTTAGAGAGGTAGCAAAAAGAACCTTAAAGATAATTTAAAAATTGCAAAAAAAAAAACCCAAAATCCCAATAACTATGAAGTAAGATTAGAAGAACGGAGAGGTGTGTGTGTGTGTGTGTGTGTGTGTGTGTGTGTGTGTGTGTGTGTATGTGATAATCTGATAATTGACAAGGGTTGGTCTCAGAGAGTTGTTCTCCATCTTCCTGAGGGCAATAGAAGAAGTAGGATTATCCTGGACCATCAAGTATTTTGATTAAGACAAAGATTTAATTTTCCTACAGTGAGTGACATCAAACATGCAGATGAGTTATTAAAGGAAGCAGTTAAAATTAACCTAGAGACCTTTTAAAAATCAAAAATTCTCATCTCTTTAGGGTAAGAAAGCAAGCAAATGAATGAAATAACCTTCAAAGGTCCTTTCTAATTCCATGATGCTATGCAGAAAATTTGCATCTGTAGTGAAATACCTGAATAGCTCCATACTACCACCCACTGGTAAATAGACAAGAAGAGCCTGTATCATGGGGGCCCATTTTACATCCCCCTCAGATTGAAAAAAAAAAAGCCAGATTCATTAGCAATCTATTTTTCAGCAGCTTCCATCATGAATAAACATTTTCTAATGATGCAATATGTATTTTTTTATAGAACACACACTAAGAAATTTAAATGGACTATGTGGTGTATGCAGAGAAATAGCAAAACCCTCCTCTAGCAGCAACATTATCAGGGCTGTAGTTTATATCATATAAGGCCTTGACAAGAACAGTGTGAATTTTACCGAATCGTATACTTTAGAAACGACATGCTTGCCCAGAATCGGCACATATTTCGAGCGGTGTGGAATGGTCGTAGTGGATAAGGCATTCATTATGGTGAGTCGCTTAGCAACCAAGCCATGGACCTTGAGCCAGGTTTCTGAAGACATATCTAGAGAACTAAGAACACAGATTTCTGTGAGGTGCAATGAAAGATGGTGGAGGGGGGAGGAGAGAAAAAAAATTGTAATTCAGATTCAAAAAAAGATGGCAAAACAGCTTGGTATACCTTAGCGAAATTAAAATACTTACTCTTGGCTTGATTCTCTACTCCTCATTTCTGATAATTTTTCACCTATTGAATTCATTTCTGTGGAGAAAGAGTTTTAAATATACAAAGGAATCACCACATGTGGGTTTTATAACAAACTACATTAGCTTCATTATTATTTCTCTATCTGAGATGATTGGTGGTCAAGGACAAATGTTTTGTTTTGTTTTGTTTTGTTTTTAAAGTATTCTCAATGGTACATCTTAGTTGGTTGTATTGCTCAGTCAATTTTGATTCGTTTTTTTTTTTTTATTTCCAAAGGCTAAGTATGTACATCAAGAGTGTGTTGCCTTGGTTTTCCTAACAATTAGGCCAACACTCTGAGCTAATCCTGAACTAGTCATAAAAACATAATATAGACTCAACTGCTTTTGGATTTTATAGTTCAAGGCTCCTGAATGAAGTAAATCACCAACCATTTTCTAATTCCTCCTACTCCTATTGCATCCATAAAAAAAGAACATAAGATCTTAAACAAGCTAGGACAGACATTTTAAGAAAATTCAATAAAGAAATCAGCTAAAGCTGTTTTAGCTGTTATATAGTGTCATGATGATACATTTCAAAATGTTTTAGCCATTGTTTGTTATATTACGGTCCTTGTTCATAGTGTCATAGATTTAGAGGCATCAGGGACTTTAGAGGCCATGTAGCTGAATCCCCTAATTTGACAGATGAAGGAACTGAGAGGACCAGAAATGTTTATGGAAGTTGTTCAAGGTCATACAGATATTTTTATGATAGCACAAGTATAGTAAAAAAAAAAAACCCTATCTATTCAAAAGCCTCTTTGAATTGTCGAAATATTGTTTAAAATTATGCGTCGGAATGTGCTTGCAGTTTTAGTTGAAAAGGACGTGACTCCTTTAAAAGAAATTAGGAAATATCAGAAACCAAAGTGTAAAATTGCAGGTAAGTGGTTTATATGAAAATTTTAATCATTCTGTTTAGATTACTAGTCAACTCAAACTCTACTTAGCAGTGATTAGAAAGTAGAGACTTTGAAATGACTCCATTAAGCTCTGATTTAGAAACCTTCATGAACCCTGAGGTCTGTCTGATTAGAGGGCAGAGCAGGAAGTTCCTCCTAAAGCCTCCATTTAAAGAGAATGCATAGGACAATCATTTTTTGTGCCAGGTACTCTCCTTTTATGCCCCACCCCATACATACCCCTTTTCAGCTTCTTCTCGTCAGTCATCTTCTCTTGTTAGATTGTAAGCTCCTTGAGGGCAAGAAATGTCTTTCTTTTTTGTGTCTGTATCCCCAGTATAGTATTGGCACATAGTAGCCACTTAATAAATCTTTATTAATTAACTGACTGAATAAATGGGAATCCCATTGAGGGAAATATCAATGCCTTTTCATAATCCAGGGCCTTGAATATAGTAGATACTCAAATATTTCATTCATTCGTTCAGAATGACAATTATGTGGTTTCATCCTGTTGGAGGAGAATGTACTGTGCTATCATGAAGTTTTGAAAGCAAAAAAAAAATGAGAGCAGAGGAATCTAGCAGGATAAACAGACTAGTGTTTATCTGCGGTAGAGGAAAGCTATTTGTAGACAAGAACAACTGTCTGTAAGTGATTTTCCTAAAAAATTATTTGGAAGCTCTGAAGTACAGAAATCTTGTACATATCCTGAAACAGTTTTGTTTCTGAGTGTAACAGATTCAAGAGTACATTGAAAGAAGTATTTTGTACATCCTGGAGAAATTAAAGTTCCACTGGTCACAACTGGGCATTAGTGAATAAAGTGCCTAATTGTAACTAGATGTCTATAAAATTTTGCTCTAATTATATGCTATTTAACGATTGGTATTATTGGCTAGTATATACAACTAACTTTTTATTAAAGAGACTTTTTTAATTTTTAAAAACAGATGGAGAAGCATACTAATTTCTCTGTCATTAATTATGCCCAGACAACCCTGGCTATTCATATCAAGAAGACATAACCAAAGCACTACTCACCTAATTGCAAGAAAAGTATGAGCATATATGATTTAATGTCATGAATCAGTTCTGGGAATATATGTAGAATTAAGTAAAGCATTATTACAGGACAGTTAATTTCATAGGAACAATGCAACATCACAATTTTATAGCAACATTTTAGAACTTAGCAGTACATTGATACTACTACATACTACTAGAAAAACATTAATTATACTAAAGTTATATATAGTTTGTTTATATCCAAGACTTAAAGGAGTGCCCATCTATTGGGGAATGGCTAAGCAAATTGTGGTTTATGAATGTAATGGAATATTCTTGCTCCATAAGAAATGATGAAATGGACAATTTCAGAGAAGTCTAGAAAGACCTGTATGAACTGATACAAGGTAGAATGAGCAGAACCTGGATAACTAGTTATGCAACAACAACACTATAAAGAAAAACAACTTTAAAAGGCTTGACAGTTCTAATCAATGCAATGATCAATTATGATTCCCAAAGACTGATAATGTTTTCCACCTCTTGACATAAAGACAAAAGTTGCAGAATAAGGCATATATTTTAAAAAAATTCCATCCTTCACTGCTCCCATTTTTTGTCAATTTGCAGAGTATGTGGAGAAACCTCAGAGTTGATTTAACTAATACTTTCAGTGATTTAGAGCAGGGGTCAGCAAACTATAGCTGGAGGCCCAAATTCCTATTGCATGCTGTTTACCTTTTTTAATGCAATAAAACTTGATTTTAAAATATCAAAACCATTCCTAGCTTCTGGGCAATGTGGGTCTTAGTTTACCAACCCCTGCATTAGAGCATTTTTCATATGGTTATTTACAGTTTGCAACTCTTCTGAAAACTTCAATGCTGGTTTTGTAAACTCAAACTGACAAAGAAGATAGGAACTATCAAAATGGAATTTTGTTTAAACAATAAAAATTCTATGAACATATTTTCCTCATTTTAAGCAAATCAATATCTGTTTTTTTTAAGGCAATTAGGCTTAAGTGACTTGCCCAGGGTCACACAGCTAGTAAGTGTCAAGTGTTTGGTCTGAGGCCAGATTTGAACTCAGGTCCTCCTGACTTTAGGGCTAGTGCTCTATCCACTGCACCACCTAGCTGCCCCCAGCAAATCAATATCTTAAAAAGATAAACAAGTAATTAGTGATCTTTTCATTTACATTGTTGTAGCTATTGTAAATATTGTTTTATTGGTTCTGTTTGTTTTGCTCTGCATCAGTTATGATGCCTCTGATGCTTACTCCCTATGTGACTTTCAGTAAGTTACTCCCTGGTCCTCCATTTCCTCAAGTATTAAATGAAAGAGTTTAGAAAAGCGAGCTCATAGACTTCATTCAGCTATAGATTCATGATCTTAACCAAGAGACTCAGCTAGGTGGCATACTAGACTAGAGCACCATACTTGGAAGTAGGAGGATCTGGGTTCAAATTCTGCCCCAGATCCTCACTAGCTATGTGACAGTGGACAGGTCAATTAACCTTTCCCCCTCAGTTTCCTCATCTATATTTAAAAATGAGGAGATTGGATTTGATGGCCTCTAAGTTCCTTTACAGCACTAAACCCAAGACCATGTGATCTATTAACATCATTCTTGTGTAAATCAGAGCACACCTGCGTTTTCATCTAGCTCTCTTTTGCAAGCTGACCTTTACAATTGAGTGAACAGCTTTGTTTTCTGGAAGACCTCTTTTGTTCAGGAGGAAGGTGCTTTTTTGCAATTGAGCTCTCTTCACTGAGCTTCTTTTCGATAAAAGAATTCCTGAGCAGACTAGTTTTTGTTGGTTCTGTTGGAATTTGCAGAAAGAAGAGGTTTGGAAGATTGGCATAGAAGGGGAGGGAGAAAAGACAATTTAGTCCAGTTTCTAAACAATCTCTCTGGTAAATACGTACTGTCTCCACACCCTTGCTTAAGCTCTCCTTTCCATTTGGATAGACGTTTACACTGATTTCTTAACTCTATGGTGGCACACTAGAATAGAGTGCCATACTTGCTATGGTGCAGGATCATCAAATTTAAATAGCTACTCTGGGGGTTTCTGGTCTCTCTATCTTCTACTCTGGAGGCGAATAATACATACAGATCCATACTCTAATTACAAGCAACCCAAATCCTTGAAAGCATTTGTGTGCATTGAGAGAGAAAACATGCAAAGCTAGAGAAGACCTGGAAAATCCAATCTTAGATAGTATCTACCATTCACAAAACATATCGACTTTTTAAATGGGGCAGCTAGGTGGTGCAGTGGTTAGAATGATGGGCCTGGAGTCAGGAAGACTCATCTTATTGAGTTCAAATCCAGCCTCAGACACTCACTAGCTGTGTGATCCTGAGTAAGGCATTTAACCCTGTTTGCCTCAGTTTCCTCATCTGTAAAATGAGCTGAAGAATGAAATGGCAAACCACTCCAGTATCTTTGCCAAGAAAACCCCAAAATGGGGTCATGAAGTCAGACACAACTGAAATGACTCAATAACAAATAAACAGTTTTATGGCATAGGAGAAAAATGCATTTAAAAGGTTTAACTGAATTTTCCCCTTATTAATCGGTCAGGTAATATCAAGGATCCTACTGATGTGTGCATTTTCTTAAAAAGTGAAGCCAAAGTCACTTTCTAACTAACCTCTGCCTGTTTCACACATTGATCACTCCCAGGCAATAGTCAATTTTGACTGCTTGGAGACAAAGGAAGCCTTGGGAGTACTGGGGACGTACTTGGTTAAGTACCAGTGCTTTCCTCTATTTGTCAATGCTCTGATTTATATTGCTGGCTTTTCCAACATTGACCCTCATTCCAATTTCTGACCAACCTGATTTGGATTCTGATTTTGGTTTGGTTGACTCCTCATTGCCTTAGTTTCACATTGGTTGTTTTGGGGATCCTTATATTGATTCCATACTCATGATTGACAGGTCTGTCTCATGATCCATTTCCTATTCTTGGCTTCTAGCCAAGACCAAGTTAGACCAACAAGTAGACTTTGTGGAGATTTCGTGTCAATTTAAGTACCCATCCTGGTCCACTCAAAGAAGAAATAGCCAGTAGTACCTGATGAGGCTAACAAGAGTAGGGAGGAAAAGTGAAAAAATTCCACTCTCAGACCTCCACCAGTTTCATTCCATTTCAAGGGACAGAACAGGGACCAGTCAGTCATTCAAGCCTCTTAAAGGGGATAGAACAAAGAGACTGACCTAAAAATACTCCTATGAACACAAGATCCCAGATCCTACCAATCCCACAAATTTTTTTTTCTACTGAAGTTGCTAATGAAGCAAAAATGGCTAAATTGATGGGGCCTCTATTAAATCCAGTTTTTAATTGTTACATGAACCCCAGGTCCCATGTATATTTCAGATAAGTGTTTAGGGTAGCTATAAAAATTTAAAGAAAAGCAACAAGAATAGCTAGCATTTCTATAGTACTTCAAGATGTGCAAAGTACTTTACAAATATTATCTCATTTTTTCCTCACAACAACTCTGGAAGGTATCCTCATTTAACGGATGAGAGAACTGAGGAAGATGACTTGCCCAGGGTCACACAGCTAGTAAGTGTCTAAGGACAGATTTGAATTCAGGTCTTCCTGACTGTAGGCCCAGAGCTCTATCCACTGAGCCACCTAGCTACTTCTATAATTGGCACTAATAATAATAATAATAAAATGTTTTTGCCTGTATAAATTGGCAAAAATTATAAGCAAATCTTAAACTTATCCACATCAAGAGGAATTGCCGTAAATGTTCTGGGCTTTGCATAGGAAGACAACACTCCTGGGGGAATTTTTTTTTTAAGTGGGAGGATGGATTTGCCTTGATCTCTACTCATAAATCTTTAGAACTTTAGAACTAGAAGGGCTACTACTGGGTTGGCTGCCCATATTCCCACTGACACCTACTGAGGTTGGTCATGCCATCTGCAAAGTTAACTGGTCTATGTGAGAGCTGAAGCTACAGTTCTGGCTTCATTAGCATCTGCTCTAACTCCAAATGACTGCCTGCACAGAAGCTACAGAGCTTACCCAAAAACAAGGTGAACAAAAGCACCTGTATCAGGGATGAAATTCAAATCTTTACTTCTACCTCTTGCCCCTGTGCCCAGACTCCACATATCAACACCAATTCTCTTGCATAGAGAGGCAGAAATAACTACAAATACATCTCAGGATTGTCTAACTCAAACACTAAAATGTAGGTTATGGCAGTAATAAAATCTAAGATGGGACAGTATGAATGAAATGGTAGCCTCTTTTCCAATGGGGATTTAATTTTATCCCCAACTATCACCCAAAATGGAAGGATGAATCATATGAAAATTCAACCCATCTAAGTCACTAGTACTTAGGATCAAATATAAATCTTCCGTTCAACTTTTAAAACCCTTCATAACCTGCCCACGCCCACCTTTCCAGTGTTCTTACACCTTATATCTCTCCTCTTTGATACAGTGACACCATTTTCCTTCCTGTTCCTCACATAACAACACTCCTCTCAACTTCTCGATATTTCCACCCGCTGTCCCCCGTGCCTGGAACACAATCTCTCTTCATCTCCACCTCCTGGCTTCCCTGAAGTCTCACTTCCTAACATCTCACCTTTCATAAGACACCTTTCCTCCTCCTCCATAATTCTGGTGCCTTCATTCTGTGATCCTCTCCACTATCTATCTGTCTTGTTTGTAGTACATTTTGTCTTTTTGAATGACATCTTCTCTTGTTATCCTGTCTTCCCCATTAGACCATAAGTTAGCCCTTTGAGACTAGCATTTTGTCTTTTTGTTTTTTTGCCTTTTCTTGCATCCCTAGCACTTAGCACAGTGCCTAGCACTCAGTAGGCACTTAATAAATGCTACTGACTGACGGTACCTGCAAATGGTGCTTTCTTCTTCAAACGAGTTTGAGGTGGGCTTCCACAAGGACTAAAGAAACCAGTCTCAGCTGGGGATACTGTTCTAAGTGTAGGCTTCTGTAGAGGTATGTCTGTTGTACTTTCTGTTGTTGAAACCACTGCATAGGTGGGCTTTTTATACCTGGGGATTTTTTAGAAAGGGAAAATAGCAAAGAGAGAACACAAGATGTTTCTACCAAGAATGCACAAATATATCATTAGAAAAGCAAGGCAAAAAAATGCTACATTTAAAAATTCAACTACTTTCCATTTCAACACATGAAGAATATACAAATAGTCAAGTTTCAGTATAACCGATTTTCAGGGATGCTTTCCAAATCTTCATTTATTCAATGAAAAATAAAAACAGAACTCCAACATGGAGAAACTGCAAACCCAATTCTCCAACCTGTGGTTCCCCAGAAGATACAAAGCGTGCCAGTGTCACAATACATGACAAACACATCATGGAGCCCCCAAGCGAGAAAAAGGGTAAAGTTGGGAAAATGGAATCATTAGTCCCAGGATAGATTTATGCAACTGCAGCTGTTGCCCTCCTGCTTAGATAGTTCTACTGTTCATGGACCTGAGCTAGCCAGCAGCCCTAGGAGGTATGCACTCTCTCTAGAACTGCCATTTTTCTGCTTGAAGTCAAGACTTAGAAATAGGTGCCCACATACTGTTGCATTTAAATAATGCAACAATGACCCTTACCTCTTGCTATGTTTTTTTCCTCTTTCAGATAGATTTGTTATGCATTTTGTAGTATAGTTATGTGGTTTGGTGACTTAGCTTCCTATGAGGAGTACACTCCATGAGGACAAGGACTAGATCTTAGCTAAATTGTAACTAATATAGCATTCTGCCCGTAGTGGATGGTTAATAAGAATGTTGAATGATGAATATTTTATATATAGAACGAAAGAGTTAGAATGAACTTCACTAGCGATATTTAAGTGTAGGCATTATGGGAGTACTACGGAAATACCATCAGATATATCATCCTCAATTGTTGTTCAGTTATTTTCAGTTGTGTCCAATTGTTCATGACCCCATTTGGGGTTTTCTTGGAAAACTCTGTGACAATTCTCTCTCCTTTCTCACTGATGTCAGTACCTGCCTCACAGTTTCCTACTCTGTAGAAATTCTTGCCTTCCTCTTGGCGACATCAAAACACTGTTGATGCTCACTCAAATACCTTAAACGACAGCAGTGACAAGCTGTGGAAATACTGAGTACTATGCAGACATCTCAGATCTTGTACTTCCTGAAACACCTTGAATGACACTCTGAGCTAACTGACTTGTAACTTTGTCTCTAAAATAATCTTGTTTGAGCTCATTGAAATGGAATTGTTTAAAATTAGATTCTAAATGTTCTTTATCTAGGCTCTCAAAACTAATCTTAAGGAAACCTTAATTTAAGGCTCCTTTTGCAAAAATCAATCATGCAAAATGTGCTAAAAAGGAAAAACAATGTCACAGGAAACTTAACAACAGATTTCGGAGGACTTGAAGACATTATGAAAAATGTGTGTCATACGAGATACAGAATAATTACTCAGTTTCTTCATCTTTCTCTGCGTTATGCCACCAGTCCAACAGCATGGATTCAGTGTAAAGGTTTTGCACTCTCTCAAGGTCATTTTGTCCCATTTCAATTTCACGTAGCAAAAGGTTCAATTGTTTATTCTGCCAAAATGAGAAGCAGACACATATACTATTCTGAAAATATGGCTGATCCACATTTTACAACAACATTTCTTAAAGCTTGTAATCTGGTTCAGGAAAAGAAAAAAACAAGACTTCATTTATTTTTTCCATTTTAGTTTCCCAAAAGTCCAGTCAGGTGGTCATCTTTCAATTAAAGTCAAGTTAACCAAGTCAACAAACATTTTTTCAAGAAATGTCCTCTCTACATGCTCTTATTTATTTATCTATTAATTAATTAATTTTAATATTAACTTTTAAAAATTTCTGATTTCCAAATTCTCTCTCTCCCCGAGACCCCTCCCTTATCCATTGAGAAGGTAAACAGTATAATGTTAATTACACATGTGAAGTCACGTAAAACATGTTTCCATATTAGCCATCATCAAGCATTTATTAAATACTATGTGCTGGGACTTGTATTAAGTGTTGGATTAGCAAAACTAGTCCCTGCCCTTGAAATCTAATGGTGGAGGGGAGGTTGTTGTTGTTAAATCATTTCAGTCCTGTCTGACTCTTTGTGACTCCATTTAGGGTTTTCTTGGCAAAGATACTGGAGCGGTTTGCCATTTCCTTCTCCAGTTCATTTTGCAGATGAGAAAACTGAGGCAAAGAGGGTTAAGTGACTTGCCCAGCCCAGAGTTACACAGCTACTAAGTGTCTGAGGTGAAATTTGAACTCTGGTAGATGAGTCTTCCTGACTCCAGGTGCAGCACTCTATCCACTGCATCACCTAGCTGCTCCAATGGGGAAGGCAGAGGAGGGAGAGATAATAGTACAACTTTGTACAAACAAGATGTATAAGAGATAATTTCCTTTCTAACTACCTTTGGATAAATTCATGGTTACAAAATGTAGGGGAAAGCATTTAACCAACATACAGAGTATCTCAAAAGTCACTGCAATTTTAAGGTTAAAATCGTACTAAGACTTTTGGGACACCTGTAGTTCAAAATTTTTCCTGCTATTTAGGCATATTCCATATAAGTCCATTTCCAAAAATAGGATGTCTGGTAAACAATATTATAAGGGAATTAATTTCAATAAGAACATGAATCTAGAGTTGGAAGGGACCTTAGAGGTCATCTAATCCAATAATCTCATTTTACAAACAAAGAAATTGAGTTTCAAAGTGTTAAGTGACTTGTTCAAAGTCACACAGGTAATAAATATCAGGGGAAAGATTTGAACCTATATCCTGTGACTCCAGAACAATGTCTCTGGAGATCAGATACATTGAACTGATGGTTTTCTATAAACATGTCTTTTGTGAGGGCAACATTCTATGGCATGTGCCCAAACAAGATAATTCACAAAGCAAATGACTTAAATATTGCTTTGTTAATAACTCCGCAAATTCCATAATAAGTGAAACAATGGGACATCTCCATGGAAGAAGGAAATGAGGTTATAATAAAAAATCTTTCAGTTTTGACTGCTAGATTTTTTTACTTCTCTAATATATGCCAAAGAAAGACAATTGAACTATAGATAATTGAATTATAACTTCTTCCAAGGCCAGAATTAGTCAAAACCATGAAGTAAATCTGTCTTTGGTACCTTCCTCTACTCTGTAGTATACATCACTCAAAGACCTACTCAATTCACTTATGTGGCTTATTGGTTGATTAAACCGTCCCCAACTGTGATTTCTAACTCTGTCCTATATTCTCCTTCATCAAATAATATGTGATTTCATTTGAAAAAAAAAAGTGTGTCTTCTTCATCAAATGTTCTCTCCCATCACATCTCCTTCAAAAATTATTACTCCCTGTTTGGCTGATCTTAGCTAAATGTTAGGAGGAAAGCAATCTGATTAAACTAATTCACACTAAGTACGAAAGACTGACAAACACTGCTCTAATTCCGTGTATTTTGTATCAGAGGATATTTGCTAATTCAAACTAATCTCCAATCACTGCAATTTCAGTCCATTTCATTAGTGGAATAACATCATGAAGATGTTAGCTGCTTGGAATAGGGGTATGATATGATAATATATCATCTCCCACCAGAACAGTAAGTCTCATTTGTTGAGGTCATTCCAAGAACCTGAGGATGCAGTTTTCTATTGCTAGCAGGGTTGGACATTGTCAAATCGAAACTGACCATTTCTTTAATGGGGTTTGACTGATGAACTCTGAGTGCAGATAAAAGCATATTTTTTTTCACTTTTTAATCTTTCTTTCTTCCTTCTTTCCTTACTTTCCTTTTCTTTCTTTCCTTCAGTCTTTCTTTTTTGCAACATGGCATGTGGCTAATAGGTTTTGTATGACTTTATATGTATAATAGGTATTGTTTTTCTTGCCTTCTCAATGGGTGGGAGAGGAGTGGAAGAATAGAGAAATTGTGGAAATAGTGAAAATAAAATTTTTTTAAAATAATAATAAAGTAGTTTGAAGCACTCACTCCCACACAATGGTTTAGATGTACAAGATGCAGTTTTGCCTTCTCCTTCTGGTGGGGAGCTGAGGAGTAAACTACAGATTCTAGCAAGGGGAAACCAGACATGAAGTAAAGGGAAGGATAATAGGCCCTCATAATCCTTGGGAATGTCCTTACTGACATTTACATAATCTCAGGATTATAGATTTATAGTAGGGAGCGACCTTAGATGCCAATTCTCTCATTTTACAGATAAGAAAAGTGATGTGGGGTTCAAAGAGATGTCCAAAGTCTAAAAATCATACAAATAGTGTGTTTGCAGCAAGATTTGAACTCAGGTCTTCTTGACTCTCAGCTCAGCACCCTTCTTACCATGCGACCTCACAAGGGGCGCAGTAAGACATTCATAAACAACTTTTGCTGCCATTTTATCTCTCTTGTCTCTCCTCTCTGGGAGACAGAAAAGCAAGCAGCAGATCTCATTCTCTTTTCCTATGGCCAGGCCAGGGCTCATATCATCTCTAGGGCAATAAGAGGATAAACCACCAGTTTGGGGACAAAGCAATGTATAAACAATACACTCTGACAGTAATCAAACCAATAGAATCATCCACGCCCAGGTTGTTAGGTAGCATTTTGTTGTAGGGTTTTGTGGTTGTTATTCCAATAAGATGAAAATCATGCTACACTAATCTCAGGTCAGTAATTCTAAACCAAATGAACACCTCCTTCCCTGTCAGATGGACTCTTACCACGTAAACACCTGGCTCCAAAGGATCCGGGGAACCAAAATGAAAGTAATGGAATTCTCCTCCAGTTCTCAGGGAGAGCTCCTTCAAAAATTCGTTGGCATCTTCATCATGGTAGTTGAAGGAGACTGTATGAATAGGGATTTTCTTTTGATGTTGGATTTGACAAAAAATCGTTTCTACAGGCTATTGTTGGTTATTTTTAAAGGATAGAAAGAGGTGGGGGAAGGGAAAATTGAAGATGAAAGAAAAGGGGAGGGGAGGGGAGAAAGAGAGAAAGAGAAAGAGAAAAGGAGGGGAAAAAAGAGAATAATTCCTTAGTATACATGCCACTGTGACACCAGCAATTTTCATTTTGTAATTTCATGACTAAACTATGGATGTGTTGGTTTCATTTTAAAGTCAGTGGTTTGATTGTGGTCTTTACGCATGTAAAAGTCAGCAATTGATATGATTTATGAGTTTAAAGAATAAACTGGACTTATAGTTCCCTGTGCTTTAAAAAAATGGATTTAACTCTGGTGGTGATGATCTGCAGCCAGAGTAGGTGGCAGAAAGGACAATGGTTATAAACCAAACGCTTAAGGGAAACTAATCAATCAATAAGCATTTATTTAGGAGCTTATTCTGTGAGAAGCATTGGACTTTCCAGCACTGTGCTAAGTATTGGAGATACAAAAATAAAAGGCAAACAGTCACTGTCCTCAAGGAGATTACATTCTAATGGAATCAATCCTATGCTTATTGAAGCCAAGGAAGGTGGAGACCTATCTTAGCATTCATGCAGTCTTCTAATGGCATACTAATGCCTCCCCCTAAAGATTAATGAGGTCATGCCGGGGCCATCTCCAGTCATCCTGATCTATATCTGGCCACTGGATCCAAATGGCTCTAGAGGAGAAAGTGAGGCTGGTAACTTTGCACAGCCCTCCTTCCCTTAAATCCAATTCACTAGCAAGTCAGGGCATCACCTTCCTGATGTCATGGTCCTCTTCGACAATGAAAGACAAACAACAATAACAACAATGAGGTCATGAGAGAGCTGGGAAAGAAGAATGAAATAAGTGTCCATATCTTACTCCCATTCTTACAGTGATAAAGAATGGACCTGATTCTCTTAGACCCAAATAAATTTACAGAGGATTTGTGTTGTTCAATAATTTTTTCCCAAAGTTTGGGGAGTGAGACTCAGTATACTGTGTTAGTCTTCCACAGCTATTGCCAGTCCTCGGTCACTCCCACCATCTGCTTTCTGGCAGCCAAGCCAGGAACAAACTAACAAACCTGCCAAAGTGATTAATTCAATTTCACTCAACACACACCACATAATTCATATTTATGTAGCACTTTAAAAGTTCATAGAACTGTTTTTTAACAACCACTTTGTGAAGAATGTAATGCAAATAATAATAACCCCATTTTGAGTATGAGACTCAATGAAGTTTAAAAACTTGCCAACGATCACACATCCGTAGTCAGAGCCTGGACTCAGATCTGGGTCTTTTGTCTCCAAGACCTCAAGAGGCCCCAAGGTCCTTTGTGGCCTGCCATACAGAGAGGGGCTCAAATCAGATAAAAATATAATTGGGAAATATTTAACAAAATAAATAAAAATACAATAAAACACAAATAACATTAAATTTTAAAACTAAGTCAAACTCACGTAGAAATGGGGTCACTAAACCATACATAAGGATCTCTATCAGCCATATATTGACTTAGAAAACCACTTATTAATATTATCTATTTCTATTGTATTTTTATTTTGTTAAATATTTCCCAATTACATTTTAATCTAGTTCAGACTGCACTGGGAGGTATTTTTGGCCATAGTACATTGCCATCCTTGTGTTTGACATCTATGATTTGTACTATAGCATTCTATGTACAAGGTTCTATACTATGCTAGGCATTGAAGGGTATAAAAACGAATGAGACATAGTCTCTGCCTTTAAGAAGCTTTCAGTTTAGTAGACAGCCACAAATTCATGCTATCTAACTTGAAGTGGCCCTACACTCCGACTCAGAATCCTCTTCTTGACTCTCTTTTAATCAGTCACGAAGAATCTAAGTGCCTATTATAGGTCAGGCACTATGCTCAGTGTTGAAGATACAAGTAAAAAGAATGAAACAATCCCATACTAGAGAGTTTGCTTTCTAATAAGGGAGACAAAAAATACGTCTATAAGTACATGCAGCAAAATAAAAACTGAATAAATGGGGGAAAAGTACAAAATAATTAAATACAAGGTGGTTTTGGGGGAAGGACAGTAGCAGTTGGGAAGATCAGAAGAGACTGGAGAGGAACAGTAATGTCTAATGAGGCTGGAAAGCTTGGTTGGGGCCAGGTTGTGAATACCTTTAAAAGCTAGAGGAGTTAATACATTATCTTAGAAATAATAGGAAACCATTGCAGTTGATTGAGTAAAGGATGGTAAAATCCACATTTAAGGAAAATTGCTTCAGGAGCAGTGTGTAAGATGGTGCAAGACTTGAAAATAAAGGTGATCAATTAGGAGGCTGTTGCAATAATATGGGTGAGAGGGATGAAAGCATGAACTGAGATGCTGGCTGTGTGAATGGAAAGGAAGGGTTAGATGAGACCAATGTGGAGGCAGAAGCAGAAGGATTTGGTGTCTATTACATTTTTGGCAGCAGGTATTCCGAACATTTTTCATCCACAAATCACAAATCTGCCTTTCTTACTTCCAACAAATGACCTAATCTAATTTACTAAGAAGATGGATTCAATTTAACAAAATCCTTGGACTTACTTCTTTTCTACTTCAGAAAGGATTTTTGTGGGCTGACCTCAAAAACTAACCTCTATGTTACATTACTTCATATGAAAAAATATTCTATGCTTCAACTTTTGATTTCAGTAACACATCTCCCATGACTTGGAGGGGCAGGGAATTCATGAGGCGAGAAGGGAACCCAACCAGATCAGGCATGGCCACTGGCTGGAAACTCACGAGTGAGTGGCTACCTGTATTATTATATTGAATGGTTTTTAGAGGAAGAAGCTGTTCAGTTCCATTCAGTAGCAACTTTCAGTAATGACATTCTAACCAATGATAAGATAGAGATGTGAGTGGGGGAAAGAGGGAAGAAAATGATAAGATCCTGAAAGATAATATTAGCACCAGTTCTAAAAATATACATAGGTATGCCCCTGACTGGCTCTTTTCCTTACTGTATTCTCATCAGACCTTTTCCTCCCAGAAATCAAATTCCAATATCTTGTTCCATGGGCTATATAAAACACATAATTTCACAAGTAAGGCATGTTCTCTTTTCATGAAGTATTATTTGTATTTATAGTTGTGTATAACCTTAAAGAGTCACTAATTCTTCTTGCATCCATTTTATTCCCAGTGTCTTTAGATGGAAAAGCTGGCTTCCAACCAAAACAGAAAATGTGGAAACTTTCTCAATAGTTTTTTAGCTAATGGGTTTTAAGGAATTTGGAGGCTCAGCTCATTCACAAAGTGGTATTTCAAATATTTCCTGCTGCTTCTTCTCTGTTCTCCCTATGGATAAAATAATACCTGATCAGGCCTCCCATCTGTCAGTATATAGATTACTTTTGTTTCTTTATCAGCAAAAGCAGTTTTAAGGGCATCCATTGTATTGGTAGAACTTCCAACCTGGTGGTGGGGGTAAGGGGGGAGAGGATTAAAAAGAAAGAAAACATTGAAATATTACTAAACAGAGATAAATTTCTCTAATTTTTACTTTAAACATGGGCTTCCATCTATCTCTAAAATCACTGACTTGGTGCAGACTCTGATCATTGACTAGGATTTACAATAATATCCTTCTCATTCAATACCCCACCTCCAATATCATCACTCTAACTATCCTGCTAAAATCATCTAGTCAATAAATATGGATTAAGTGCTTACTATGTGCCAGGCACACAGTAAGACACTAGAGATAAGAAGATAGAAATGAAAAAGTCCCTGCCCTCAAAGAACATACATCCTATAGGGAACCCCCCCTCCCTAATACACATACACATGTACTCAAATATAAACAAAGTATATATAAAACAAATAAAATGTAATTTTGAGGGGAGAGTGCTACCAGCTAGGGGGAAATCAGGAAAAACCAAATGTACGGGGTATCACTTGAGTTGGACTTTGAAGGAAATTAGAAATTCTAGGAGGAAGGAAGAAAGGAAGGAAGATGGCATGTATTAAGTACCTATAATGTGCCACGCACTGTGATCTTACAAATATTATCTCATTTGATTCTCACAACGATCCCGTGAAGGAGGTACTATTATTATCCCCATTTTCAGCCCAGGAAACTGAGGCAGAGATTAAATGACTTGCCTAGTTACACACTGCTAGTAAGTGTCTGAGGCCACATTTGAACTCAGGTCTTCCTGACTCCAGGCCTGCCGTTCTATCTACTGAACCACCTAGCTACCCACGATGGGAGCACCTAGATGAGAGATAAAGTGTCGCATAGGAAGGAAAGCAAGATGCCAAGTTGAATGGATTGTAGAGTATATGAAGAGGAATAACATATAAGTCAGGAAAAATAGAGCTGGACGATAAAGGGCTTTAAGTGGTCACAGAAGTATTAGTATTTGACCATAGAAGTAACAGAAAACTACTAGAATTTATTTAGTAGAGGAATCACATAGGGGACGCTAGGTGGCACAATGGATAGAGCACTAGGCCTGGAATAAGGAAGACTCATTATCCTAAGTTCAAATCTGGACTCAGACATTTACTGGTTGTGGGACCCTGGGTAAGTCATTTTACCGTGTTTGCAAAATGAGAAGGAAATGGCAAATCACTTTGCCAAGAAAATCCCAAAATCCCAACAAAAAGTTGAAAATGATTAAATGAAAGCTGGGAAACAATTTTTACAGCCAGTGTGTCTGATAAAGGCCTCATTTCTCAAATATATAGAGAACTGAGTTAAATTTATAAGAATACAGGTCATTACCCAATTGATAAATGGTCAAAGGATAGGAATAAGCAATTTTCAGATAAAGAAATAAAAGTCATCTATAGGCATATGAAAAAATGTTCTAAATCACTATTGGTTAGAGAAATGTAAATTAAAACAACTCTGAGATACCACTTCACACCTATTAGATTGGCTAATCCGACAGAAAAGAAAAATGATATATATTGGAGTGGATGTGGGAAAATTGGGACACTAATGCACTGCTAGTACAGTTGTGAACTGATCCAACCGTTCTGTAGAGTAACTTGGAACTATGTCCAAAGGACAATCAAATTGTGCATACCCATTAATTCAACAATATCACTACTAGGTCTGTATCCCAAAGAGATCTTTTAAATGGAGGAAAAGGACCTATTTGTATAAAAATATTTATAGCTTTTTGTAGTGATAAAGAATTGGAAATTGAGTGGATACCCATCAGTTAGCAAATGGCTAAACAAGTTGTGGTGTATGATTGTGATAGAATACTATTGTGCTATAAAAAATGATGAATTACATGAGAAAACATTTTAACATGCAAAATTTTTATTAATTTATTTATTTTTAGTTTTCAACATTCACTTCCACAAGATTTTGAGTTCCAAATTTTCTCCCTATCTCTCCCCTCCCTCACTCCAAGATGGTGTGCATTCTAAATACCCCTTCCCCTAATCTGTCCTCCCTTCTATCAACCCTTCCCCTTCTCTTATTCCCTTCCCCTTTTATTTTCCTGTAGGGCAGGATAGATTTCTATACCCCATTGCTTGTATATCTTACTTCCCAGTTCCATGTAAAAACAATTTTTAACATTTGTTTTTAAAACTTTGGGTTCTAAATTCTCTCCCTTCCTCCCTCCCCACCCACCCTCATTGACAAGGAAAGCAATTCAATATAGGTTATACATGTGTAATCATGCAAAACACTTACATAATAGTCATGTTGTGAAAAACTAACTATATTTCCCTCCATCCCATCTCCCCACCCTGTTTATTCTATTCTCTCCTTTGACCCTATCCCTCATCAAAACTGTTTGCTTCTGATTACCCCCTCCCCCAATCTGCCCTCCCCTCTATCGCCCCCCCTGCTCTCTTGTCCTATTTCCCCCCTATTTTCCTATAGGGTAAGATAGATTTCCATACCCAAGTGAGTGTGTATGTTATTCCCTCCTTAAGCCAAATCTGATGAGAGTAAGGTTTACTCATTCCCTCTCATCTCCCTCCTCTTCCCCTCCACTGTAAGAGCTTTTTCTTGTCTGTCTTATGTGAGATAATTTACCCCATTCTACCTCTCCCTTTCTCCTTCTACCAGTATAATCCTCTCTCACCCCTTAATTTTATTTTTTAGATATCATCCTTTCATCTTCAACTCATCCGGTGCCCTCTGTCTATATATGTATATATATATATATATGTATGTATGTATGTATGTATGTATGTATGTATATATGTGTGTGTGTATATATATGTTTATGTATGTATGTATGTACGTATGTATATTCCCTCCAACTACCCTAGTACTGAGAGAGGTCTCATGAGTTACAAATATCATCTTTCCATGTAAGAATGTAAATAGTTCAACTTTAATAAGTCCCTTAAGATTTCTCTTTCCTGTTTATCTTTTCATGCTTCTCTTGAGTTTTGTATTTGAAAGTCAAATTTTCTATTCAGCTCTGGTCTTTTCATCAAGAATACTTGAAAGTTCTCTATTTCTATTTCACTGAATGTCCATCTTTTCCCCTGAAGGATTATACTCAGTTTTGCTGGGTAGGTGATTCTTGGTTTTAATCCTACCTCCTTTGACCTCTGGAATATCATATCCCAAGCCCTTCAATCACTTAATGTAGAAGCTGCTAAATCTTGTGTTATCCTGATTATGTTTCCACAATACTTGAATTGTTTCTTTCTGGCTGCTTGCAATGTTTTCTCCTTGACCTGGGAGCTCTGGAATTTGGCTATAATATTCCTAGGAGTTTTCCTTTGGGGATCTCTTTCAGGAGGTGATTAGTGGATTCTTTCAATTTCTATTTTACATCAGGGCAGTTTTCCTTGCTAATTTCTTGAAAGATGATGTCTAGGCTCTTTTTTAGATCATGGTTTTCAGGTAGTCCAATAATTTTTAAATTATCTCTCCTGGATATATTTTCCAGGTCAGTTGTTTTTCCAATGAGATATTTCACATTGTCTTCTATTTTTTCATTCTTTTGGTTTTGTTTTATAATTTCCTGATTTCTCATAAAATCATTAGCTTCCATTTGCTCCATTCTAATTTTAATTTTTTCTTCAGTGAACTTTTGGACCTCCTTTTCCAATTGGCCATGTCTGCTTTTTAAGGCCTTCTTCTCCTCATTGGCTTTTTGGACCTCTTTTGACATCTGGGTTAGGCTATTTTTTAAGGTATTATTTTCTTCAGTATTTTTTGGGGTCTCCTTTAGCAAGCTGTTGACTTGTTTTTTATGATTTTCTTGCATCACTCTTATTTCTCCTCCCAGTTTTTCCTCTACTTCTCTTACTTGTTTTTCTAACTCCTTTTTGAGCTCCTCCATGGCCTGGGACTGATTCATATTTTTCTTGGAAGCTTTGGATGTAGGAGCTTTGACTTTGTTGTCTTCTGGTTTTATGTTTTGATCTTCTTTGTCACCAAAGTAAGATTCTATGGTCTGAGTTTTTTGCCTCCGATTGCTCATGTTCCCAGTCAATTACCTAACTTTTAAACTCCTTATTTAGGTAGGGTTCTGCTTCCAGTGTGGAGAATGTACTGTCCCAAAGTTCAGGGGTTTTGTGCAACTGTTTTCAGAGATACTTCTTTGGACCTGTAAATTTTCAGGTCTTCCAAGGTGGTATGATCAAATGAGAGGTGTTTACTCCTTTCCTGGCCTGTGCTCTGGTCTCTGAGTGACCACAAGCACTCTTTTCTGCCTTGGAACTGTGAAGAGTTTTCCTTCTCCACTACCACAAGCTCCACCACATCAGCACTCCTCTTTGCCCCAGGACCACCACCCAGGACTGTGACCCAGATCCAAGCACGGGCAAAGCAAGAGAATCCTGCACAAACAGAGAGATCCCTGCAATCCCCCTCTGATAAACCTCTCGATCCCTCCACCATCTGTGGCCCGAGAGCTCCTGAAATAACCATTGCTGCTGTGGCTGCTGCCCGGGGGCTGTACTAGGAGCAAGGCTGGACCACACTCCTCTCTCACCCAGGTCTGACAGACCTTTCCCACTGACCTTCTAAGTTGTCTTTGGCATTTGTGCATTGAGAAGTCTGGAAACTGCCACAGCTTCCTATGATTCAGTACTGAGACCTGTTCCAGGTTTCCTCTGGCCCCATCTTTGCTTGCATGACCCACACTGAACTGCACTACTCTCCAAACCTGGCACAACAGACCTTTCCTATTAACTATCCAGGTTGTCTTGGGCTGGAAATTTGTTTCACTCTGTCTTTTTGTGGGTTCTGCTGCTCTAGAATTTGTTTAAAGTCATTTTTTACAGGTATTTGGAGGGGTTTGGGGGAAAGCTCAAGCAAGTCACTGCTTTTACTCTGCCATCTTGGCTCCATTCAATCATGCAAATCTTATATATACGATGCAAACTATAGCAACTTGGATGTTCAATAGATGTTCTTGAGTTTTTAAGGATGATTTTAAAACTTTTAACTCAATGTACTGTACATTTTATGAGTTTAT